ATTAAAATCTTATTTTAATCCCAACTAAATATGGGCTTAATTGTTTAAGAACCCAACAAATTAGTGAATATAATTGATTTTCTTGCAAATTTGAGATCAGACAAAGGCTTAAATAGAATCGATCTCATCTAGCTCATGAAGATGGCGAAGTTTCAAGCTCGACTTCACCACGACCAAAGTTTTTGCCCTTCAAGGGTTAATTTGTACAACTTGAGTCGAAAGTTATTAAATTCACGTCGACTAACTCCAAGTACTTTTTATGTTTATACACGAGCTACACACTCACTCTAACATAAAATAAACTAGATTTCTTCGGCCAAAAAATAATACACCCACAAAAAAAGGAAAAAGAAAGCAACAAAAGTGAGTATTTACATGGTATAATATGAGTCTTGAGAATAGCTGAATAGGTCAAGGGAAAATACCTTCTTTTTTCCCCCTTTAAGAAAAGGAGTAAAGTGCATTTGAAATTTGGGTAAGAATAGTATATATTCCCTGCACTTTTAAGAGAAAATCTATTCATGCACAAGTTAATTTTCCCTTTATCTGTGTGCTTTTGCAGCTGGCACAAGTGTGCTTTTTTTTGCTTTCATTAGTTCACATTCATTTTCTTTACCATCTTATATTTATCAGCATCAATCTTGCTTTTCTGATTATAAAGGAAGAAACCATAAGAATATTTCATAGTCAAAAGAAGGGTTGTAATGTTTCCTTTTAAAGCTCTCAAATACGAGTTTTAAATTTTCAAAAAAATAAAAAAAATACACTTGCATCTACTTTCTAAGAAAAGGTTGAACCCCAACCTTGAGGGTCCCCCACCGTCCCACCTCTAAAGTATTGTGAAGGAAGTAAATTTCGGGATGTGCTTCAACAGGCAAGGATACAAGAGCTGTTTTACTGGTACCCACAAAGAGTCCAATTACATACCTTGTAAGAGGCAGAAATCGAATCTTCACACTGCGGCTGTCAGCTCAGCTGAGACTACCTCACTCAAGTTCTTTACATCACTGAACTATGTCCCGAGAGGCCATGCATCTACTTTCAAAAACTACATCACACCAATTCCATTACTAAAAATCTCGTTCAAGAAAATCACGGACAAAACACTGCCACAACTACAAATGTTACTTCACAAAACAAAATTTATTATTACCGACTAAAATTTCATTGATAATCATAAAAGACGAGAACACTTCATCCCGTTGATAATCGACGGCAGATGAAGATAATAGTTAAAAAAAAAATTATCGACATTGTTGATGATTAATAACGACAAATATGATGATTTCACCCATTACGAAGACATATTTCAAATGTTTATCCATAAATTTTTGTTTAACCATTCTATGGACGGAAAATATTTGCTTGCTTTTGGTACTGATAAATATGTTGCACTTCCTTGTGATCAAACCCCAATAGGGGTCTCTTAGAAGAAGTAATTAATGATAAAATAAAGGAGGGGAAGAGATTCAAGCTAGAAATTATTGGAACTAAAAGGAACTGAAAATAGAAGAACAGAGGAAATGAACTGAACAATGGCAGAGGATAAAAACGGGATGAGATAAACCTGCTGAAGCAAGGAAGCAGATGAAATTTATTCAATCAACTTGCTTGAGAATTATAATGCATAAGAGCTCTATTTATAGAGAGAAAAGCTAACAAACTATCTAACAAACTAACAATCTAACAAACATAAGAAGAGACTAGAAGAAACTAGAAGAAAGAAGCTGAACTCTGTTGTAGGCAGGAACTGGTTTGCTGGTGAACTCGTTTGCTGAAGGTGAGCTGGTGTTTTGCATGTTGAGCTGCTGGTTTGCACTCACGTGAACTGGAGTTGAGTTTGATATTCCAACAATTAACACGGTCCACAAATCAAATCAAGTCCTTCATATATTAATAATTTTTTGCGTAAATGGAATTATACACAGAATCGTACTGGTGCGGCGTTGGTGCAATTTCTGTCATTGTTGTATCAAAAAGGGAAAAACCAATGAAAAATTATCAACGGTTCTCGTATCAAACTTTTTTTTTTTTTTACCTATTAACATAACTGTTCGTAAATATACTAGTAATAGGGCTTACCCAATTGCTCAAATGAGAAAGGTCGTAGGTTGGTACAATTAATTTTAGTCAAATTGCCTCTGCTTGCTTAACGAATTGGTGTCTGCCATTTGGCATGTTATAGAGTCCACGCATTGTGAGTTTACTATTAATCAGGTGTTGACCACCGAATCAGCATTTAGCCGCTTTCTCTTACCACTTGGAAAACCATCTCTCTCACGGTCCGTAGACTTTCTCTATAGAGAAAATTGCGCCATTGCCCCTTAATATGTTTCCCTATTAGCAAGCTAGTCTTCAATCAGTTAAAAATATCGAGTTAGTTTCTACTATATCATTATAATCGCACAACTAGTTTCTTATGATGAAAAACATTGGAATCTCTTTTGCACTCATTTAACACAGCATGCATATCCTACTTTACGAAGCTAAGCTTTTCTTTACATCTCGAGGTGTTTAGAAATATGAAATAAGAGATGTCATCGTAAGTGTCACACGAGCAGTGTGGAGCGATTTATATCTATTAGTTATTAAAATTACCAATAATGACAAACAATATTCATTTGTTCTACATGAATACTGATAATAATATGATCAAGGAAATAGTCATTGACTCAAAACTTATTTACTAAGATTGAATCAAAAGGAGGACAGAAATTTCAATCTTCTAATTTCTATTTGTTAAACCACCAATGAAGAAAAATAACAATCCACAAAATATTTAAGAAAAGATAAACTCTAAAACCTAATTACAGACATGAAAGCACATAATAACTTAAATTGAAAAAATATATATATAAAAAATTAAGAAAAGTAATGATAAAAGTCAGGCCCCTTCCAATTTGTAACATCAGGCTTCATCAATTACATTGATGAAGATTTGGTTGATTTCAGCCATTTTCGGCTAATTGTGCAACTGTAACAAAATAAAAAGGACCAATTTGATATTTCTAATAGTTAGAGACAAACTTGCTAATGAGACAATAAATTAGGGATTAATAGTGCAATTTCCCTCTTTCTGTAGGTTTCCTTATCTCTCTGGGTAAGCATTTTTAGTTTTCAAATTAAGCATGGATGAAGTTGAGATACCTCTGTATTTCCTCTGTCCCATATCCCTTCAGATCATGAAAGAACCCGTCACCACGGTCACCGGCATCACGTATGATCGGGAAAGCATCGAGCGGTGGTTGTCAGCGGCGCAGCCCAGAACAACCTGCCCAGTAACCAAGCAGCCTTTACATATGGACTCAGACTTGACACCAAATCATATGCTCCGCCGGCTGATCCAAGCATGGTGCATTGCCAATGGTAATCACGGGATTGACCATATCCCGACGCCAAAATCTACTATCAACAAATCCGACCTTGTTAAACTCATTCGGGATCTTGAAAATCCTGTCTTGTATATAAACTCTTTGAAGAAGATGGATGAACTAGCCAGTGAGAATGAAATGAACAGAAAGTGCATGGCGGAGATTGGTGCAGCCAAGGCGATGGCTAAGTTCATTTTACGCCGCTTCCGGGAAGGTAATGTTAGAGTCACCTCGCCTAAAAGCTTAATTGTTAGAAAATGGGACAAACTTTATTGTTTGCCGTCCACAAAAGAAAAATAGAAATTGTTTTTGGTAGTTTTTGTGATTTTAATGGTATTATGATAAATTTTATAAGCATCAAGGCCAAAGGGATATTGAATATATATGTGAAAATTTGAGTCTCAATTATCAGTCCAAAATTTTGGTAATATGTGTGCTAACAAGTCCAAATTCTGGGTATTCTGTATGGAACGAAGCGTTTCTAAAATATTCACGAGTGAATCAACATGAAGTTTAAAATTGTTCGTGTATTGTGTCTAAATTATCTTCAACATGTAAGACTCTCATGAGTATACGGGATTTATTTTGGTGGTTAAACAGGTAACACAGCAGGTCTTGAAGAAGCATTGAGGATTCTTCATCTCACCTGGAATCCAACTCCAGAAAACAAGCAGTTGTTCAAAGAAAATTTTGATTTCATCCAATCCATAACATGGATTCTGAAGACTGAATCAGAAAACAACCAAACACTCAAAACTCAAGCCGTTTTAGTCCTGAAAATGGTAACAAAAATTGCAAGTTCAAGCCTGTTCGAGATACTAAAACTCGATTTCTTCAAAGAACTCGTAAATATTCTGCGGAAGACGACATCCCAACAGGCCATAAAATCTGTCCTACAGACCCTAATAGAAATCTGTCCACTGGGAAGAAACAGAATGAAAATAGTTGAAGCTGGTGCAGTTTTCCACCTTATTGAGATGGAATTATCAGGCCACAAGCAGGAGAAAAAGTCGATGACCGAGCTTATATTCTTCCTGTTGGCACAATTATGTTCATGTGCAGATGGAAGGGCGCAACTGATCAAACATGCTGGTGGCATAGCCATGGTTTCTAAAAGATTGCTGAGAGTTTCTGCTGCAACAGATGATAAATCACTGCATATTCTTGCTTTGATATCTCGATATTCTGCGACTCGGGAAGTTTTAATAGAGATGTTAAGTGTTGGAGTAGTGTCCAAAATATGCATGGTGATTCAAGCAGACTGTGCAGATCATTTGCAGAAGAAAGCAAGAGAGATTTTGAGGTTGCATTCTAATGTTTGGAGTAATTCTCCATGCATACAAGTCTATCTCATGACTAGGTACCCTAGATAATTCTTCATATAAAACTTTGATTCTCCCTCTCTCTCTCTCTCTCTCTCTGTGTAATTTCTCTCTTGTTGAGGATCAATTGTAAGTGATGACCCTTCATTGATTTCCCATTTGGGATTAAACTAGTATAGATGTGAATTTGTAAAAGTTTGGCATATCTTTTTATGTTTATTAACTTTGTCATGTCCTAGATCCATTTTTTCTCTCTCTCTATCCTGATCGAATCCCCTCTATCAATAATATTCGTTTGAATCAAAGTTAATGTTCATTTAAAAACCGTTTTTCACGAATTAATTTTTAACCACATATTTCATATGACACGTAATTTTTATCAACTTTTCGATTAACACATATCATTTTTTATTTTTTTAAAATCAAAATCTACTAAAAATTTGAGTTTTAGCTAAATCAAGCAGGGGCATAAATCCCGACATAAATTGAATCCTTTGAACTTTGAAGTGTAACATTCGGAGGTATATTGACATTACTTTATGATATAATATTTTTTAGTGTTTGTTAATGTATATTATTATTCAAGAATATTATAAATGGCACATGAGTTGTTTGCTGGATTTGAAGCCATTAAAGAGTACAAAATGTTAAATTCTTGTTATTTAAATCTCAAAATATTTATTTTTGATTCAATTTTGAAAAACTTAAAAGATATAAATGATCTTATTTCTAATTCAACCTTCAAAATTCACGATATTTAACAATATAATAACAGTAGTACTCCATTCAACTAATATCAAGTTAGTAATTTGATTCGGTTTCAAAAAACCTAAGGGTCCGTTTGATTGCGAATGTGAAATTTTGGTGTAAAGAAAATGAATTACAGAGAATTGAATTGCTTAGAATTTGTTTTACTGGAAATTGTAATTAATTATATATGTTTGATTAGTATAATTTTTCACCTGAAAAATGTTGAAAGTTTGGTGTCCGTTTGACTTCGTTTTTCATGAAAATTGTCCATTAAAGTGACAAATTTTTTTTACCATTAGGTCTAGAATTTGTTCCAATTGCTAAAAAAAATATTAAAATTATCACACTGAATACCATTCGTTTGGCTTTGTTTTGCATGAAAATTGTCAATAAAAGTGATAATTTTTTAGAATTTTTTCTAATAGCAAAAAAAAAAAAAGGTACCTTGAAAGCCATTTCCCACCAAAAATGGTGGGAAGTCATTTTCATCAACACCATGGAAATTGTCACCGTGTGAGGCCATCTAAGAAAATCAATTCCAAGGAAAAAAAATTGCCATCAAACAATGCTAAAGTGGAAGATGGAATTTGTCTTCCATTTTCCATGAAAAATTTTGCATAATCAAATAGGGCCAAGATATAAACGATTTTATTTCTAATTAAACCATCAAAATTCACGATATATAATACAAATAATACGTTCGAAAAATATCGAGTCAGTAACTTAAAATTAATTTTCCAATAAATTTGTATGGAGATCTATTGCTATCTATGCCGACTAATGCTCATTTTGTTTACTTGTATCTTTGTTGACATGTTCGCAGTAGCTATCGCTATAGTGAATGAAAAATTGCTTTAATGATATACAGATGTGCTTGGACATTTAAAATGTTCATTTTTTCGTACTTATCCTCAACAAAGTCGCTTTTACTGTGTTAATTGTCGTTAATAATGTCTTAAATCAAATTCTCGACACAATTGTGGGCTGCTGGTCAACTCAACTTATGGATGACCACATGCAATGATTGACCATTTTGAATGTGGGTACAACTATCTTCTCTGAACCACTTGAGTTTTAGGGTAATAAGGTGGACTTGACTTTTATTGGCAATTCAATTAGTTCACGTTAGAATTGTGGATCGATTCCAAATCTTTTAAATTATTGTGGACTTTTTGTTTTTACAATTAGAGTCACGGACCTTTCGTCTTGATTGTAGCTGGAGGACATATGAACGTAATTTAACCGCCAATTAACCAAAAGTCAATGATTTGATGGCATTTTGACAAATTTTAAAATGATAAAATAATAATTTTATATTATCTAATATAAAATAATTATAGGATAACTATATTACTACTAAACAATTTACTTACTACATCACAATTAAAATATATTTTTAATAAGTACGCCAAAACAAATTTAAAATTATATTCCCAATTCAATAAAAGCTAAAAATGAAAAAAAAAAAAAAATACATATTTTGGTGAAATCATCATCTCAATAATACTCCTCATTTTTATTTTTATTTTTTAATCCATTTTGTATTAAGGGTCCGTTTGATTGCAATTGTGGAAAATGGGTGGAAAGAAAATGTTTTACAAGGAAAAGATTTTTCTAGAAAATGTTTTCCTGGGAATTGTAATTAATTATGTTTGATTAGTATAATTTTCTACCTGGAAAATGTTGAAAATTTGGTATCCATATGACTTCATTTTTTATGGAATTTGTCAATTAAAATGAT